ACGTGTATTAAAGACGCGCTTGAAATGATAGCTTCGAAGCTGTTATCTTTTGATGTTCGAAATGACAAACTGTATTCACTAATTACCAAGACCATTTAAGGGGATTTCTAGGAATGGTGTAATAGAAAATTCTATAAGACGATTCTTAGAAATCGCTCAAGGCTATTCACATATTGGACACAAGACACTTAGTTTTTAGTAATTCTGCGGTTAGGTGCATAGACTAGATTTTTTATGTGTGTGGTTGACCTCGACGTTAGGACATAATTAAATATTTTAGTTTATACAAGATAACAAACAACATGATATGCATTTAACTCGCTGTCCCTCTGGTGATATACAACTTTATCACCTGTTCGTAACGATATAAGTACAATCCACGACTGTACACGGCCAAACTTCGCACATATTCGTCTAGTTTTAAGTACCGTGTAGAAAAACCCTTAGTGAACCACTTTTTAAATTCATTACTTTGTCTTTGGTGAAATGAAGAAAAAAAGTTCAGCGAGCTTAATTCTTATTGAGTAGCTTTATGTTGCTAACGAGACACCAGGAATGTAAGAAACTAGAAGATCAGTGCTTCTTCACTATCAAGAAGTGTTTTAATAATATGGCGATAGCAGTAATTCGTTATCTATTTTAGAGCTGGTGGCTACATATTCCAAAGTAAGTCAGGTCAATTCTAATACCTAAAATCCTTATGAATATTCATGTTTAATAAAAACAGCTATGCGAAAAATTACAATGAAATTAAACGAAACAAGACCTTCCAAAACAAAATTAATTTTATTGTAATTTAATTCCGACTCAGTGGCTCACTTACCTACTGTTTTCTGACTTGTAAAAAGAAGTCTGTAACATCGTGCTGAATTAAAAAGCAAGAAACCAGATGGCCGACGCCGCTTAACATTGCAAATTGAATGATTATGTAAACAAGCCTTACTAAAGCCTTTTTTGAAAGCGTCTTAACAAAATTAGTGGTAGAGTTAGTTATTTCACATTCAGAAATTTTCTGGCAAAATTTTGTTATGAAATAATAAGTAATACAAAACAAAAGCGAAAAGTACTGTACTACACAAGCGTTTGATTATAGAAAGTAGAAATGTTCATGTTAAATTGGGCAAAAATTCCGAATATTACGTCTCTTCGGTCCTGTTTGTAATGTAAATAAATAAAAATAAAAAATATGACTTCATTATTAAGTTTGACTCTTCCATGTGCTTCGCAAGAACTCTGAACTCTCCGATATGTCGCCCCTGAGTGTCGCTTCACCCACTTCCGGCGCGAGGCTCCGCCTTTATATGTTCACTCTAGGGGTAGGGACCACAAGACCACATGGAGTCGGGGTGCTCTGTGTCGGTTCTGTGACTTATTTAATTTAAAAAAAAAACTATTTTATGATAATCGATTTTCGAATCGATAGTATGACGTCGCCCGCTTCCTATATTTATCATTTTGGTAGTACTATTCATGTTTTTGAAGTAAAATTAATAAAATGGCGGACTTTCTTAGTGAAAATAATATGAATTTTTTAATAAAAGTAAGCGTTTTCAATGGTTTTTTTTATTTAAATTTATTTATGACCCCCACACTAGGCAATGCGTGTCCTATGGGGGTTAGTTCTTGACGATTTCCAATATAATGCGGCAGTTGTATCAATTTTTAAAAATACAAATTAATTTACAAATAATCACTTAATACTTAAAAAAAGAGAAAAATATTATTATTTCACATATATAATAGTACCCGGAGGACCGAGCTTTGCTCGGTTTGTTTTTTTTTTGTTAAATCGTGTGTTTTGGAAATTATATTTAGATACAATTTACTGAGTAATGAAATATGCATAATATTATTCGATCTTACCGACGTAATAATAAGAAAATATGAAGTGGTGTTTTTCACAAAAGAAACAACTTTAAAAAGAAAAGGGAAAAAATAACAAAATCATCTGGATCAACAAAAAATAAAAATAAAGAAAGCAATGATCTGGTATAGAAAAAAAAGTAAAAAAAAAGAGTGTGTAAATGATCGTGACACGAACCACGGCCGTCTGTTTTGGGGCCGCCCGAATACCGACCGAGCTATTATAAGATTTTCTTTTGCGGCGAAATTTACCGTCATATTCGAATGATATTTTTCATTCCCTGAAAACAGGGATAAAAGGACATTTTCTAAAAATGAAACCTAGCTAGATCGATTTTTCGCCCCCGAATCTACGCACATAATAAATTTTATGAAAATCGCTGGAGCCGATTATTTATATATATATATACAAGAATTGCTCGTTTAAAGGATAAGATTAAATTATTAACATTTCTCTATCGATTAAAATTTTTTTCTAGCTTGAAAACGTACGACACCTATACTATTCGGAATTTTTACCTTAATCCCTACTTTAACTGAATGTAAAAATGTAACTTAAATTTTGAAATATATTATTGTCTGATACAACCATGGCCCATGTTTGATATTTTTTGTTATTTGTCTATACTTTACTGTACGAAGGGTATTAAGGGATAGTCTCCACTCGACATCGCTGCGAATTGGCAGATTATTTTTTTTAAATTATTATTTCGAAAATATCAGGTTTCCTCAGTAACATATAATTTACAATAGTGAGTAATAAATATAAAATAATACGATATCAATCTATTATTTTATCTTTTTAACGATACTTTAAGCCTAATCGAGAGGTCAGAAGTTGAGACAAGTTATAAGTTTTAAGCGGAGATTATGTGGCCAGTTCGTGACACCACCTTTGTCTAATGGACGGCTTTAATAAAAAAAAGCATGTACATATACTAAGCTTAAACTCTAGTTGAGGTATGCATCGTCGAAAATTTTTTGTAAACATTTTCACAAAATGCTAAGATAATATACTTTATTGCTAACCTTAAGGTAAAAAAGGTAACAAAGGGCAGACTTAATGCCCAAAGACATTCTCTACCAGTCAACCAAGGACTCTACCAGTCAATTTAGTTGGAAATTTTTATACTTGTTTGTTTAAGAGTAACGTGCCAAGGTATTTTTTACGTTAGGAAGAGTTACTACCGTATCACTTGTTTGAATAATTATGGTGTAAAACATGTTGACAATCATATTACACAGTTCCATCATATTCAACCGTTTCTGTATGCAAATGCATAGAATCATTAAGTTTACATTCTTTTTATACATTCGTTTATTTTCTTGTGTGTACAGGATCTCTCTGTCATCTTAACCAGCATTAAGAGAAGTTGGTACTGTATATGTTTAATATCGGGGATTTAAAACCCTAAATCCAATACATCACGTTCGTGTCTGATTTGCGAAGAATGTTAAATAAAACAGCACATTAATTTACAAAAATTTTATTTCTTTTCCTGTCGCCTTATTAGGCTAGGCAGTTGAAATGTCCTTCTTTGTGTAAGTACTGGTAACACTATAACTGTATTCATCACTTAACAAATTGCTACAGTCTTGAGAGAGTAATGTTAAGTTTTAACAGATATGCCTGTGATTCATTCAAAATTTTGAGTATCGCTCTCAAGCTTGTGCAATTTACAGTGAGTAAAATAAACATAATATTATTTAGATGGCAAGATTCGCTAAACGCTAACATTATGTAGTTCAATTCTTTGTTCAAGCTTAGTTATTATATAGGTATAATGAAATAATCGAGGTCCTAAAGTCTGTTCAGTTTCTACACTCGAAATGGGGCGAATAAAATGTTTCAGTGTTTCTCGAGTACACATCAATTAAGTTTTACCTTTACATATTTATAACAAGAAGGAATGTCAGCGTTTAAGATAACTTACACTAACTGTTACATTTAACAATCGAATCGAACAATTTTAGTTGGCGAAATAACATATTTTGTTTTAATATAATTAAGAGGCCGTGATAGCACGGGTTCAACTCCAATGTTGGCATCAAAAATTATTGCTACAGAGTTTACGCCTATATTTTTAGGTACAAGACGGGTCTACTTAAATCTAGTTTCTTTATGCTAATATGTACAATATCAATGATTAATAATAAAGTAGCTATCATTAGGAGTTTAAGTAACAGCGCGTCATTATAAACGAAATAACAAATTTATTCGAGATTTTATTTACACGCAAGACTTACAAATCACAGAGGTGTTTGCGAGAAATCAATGAACGTCGAAAATGATTATAACATGGGTACGCTTAATGGCAAGAATACAATGTGTCTTTAATTCGCAGACATAAAAATAATTCAACGTAACATGGTTAAAAGTAATAAATAAGTGTAACGATAAATTAATTTTGAAACTGAAATCGAAATAGCTCGGGGCCTGTGATTTGTATTATTTACTATACAACGACAATGCTTTAAGAGTTTTTTTTTGTTCGATGCTTGTCCGATAATTTAACTGGATAACGCATACGTAGTTTATTAATCATAAAGTTCTAATATGCGTTTAAGTACATTGATAGTTCCATTCTCAGAAATGTTTAGAATACTAGATTTGAGTAATATTTTTATATCACCTCTTCAGTCCAATATGAAGTATCCTAAAATGTTCAACGAATTCATTATTAAGTAGGATATGCCATTATGGTTCATTCGCATCTTCATTTCAATATCACCTTTATCATAGAATCAACACGTTCTGTGTTAAACACATCTCATTCAGAGCAACGCTAAGTATCGAAATTGAATAGAAATTTACATAGCGGCGAGCAAGTTTTACATAAATTGCCATTTTCACAACCGAAATTAAATATGTAGTCGGTACGTTCGCCAACACAGTTGCTACCTAACGCGATGTTTGTAAGCAATCTTCGACCGTGTATTCACGCGATATGATGGCATTTTTGAGCGTGATAGCATCTATGTTGGCCGCGTACGGGAATATAACTTAATAGCTCACTGGCGTCGCAAGAATTATTACTGACCGCACTTTTGGAGACTAAAGTATGGCGTCGCGACGAGTAATAATTTTACAGCGGCCGGATCGAGTTCAATTGTCTGTCTGTTGCACAACACTGTCACTCTGCACCCCCGCTTGTCTTCTGAGGGGGGTGCCGGGGCACGAGGGATGCGGAGTTCGTCGATAGGTCGAGTGCTGGCTCCTGGCACGTGGCGCTGAGGCTGGTGCCCGCTTGGGGCTTTGCGAACAGCGGTCCCGTTGGGCCCGACAGCGAATCTGGCTGGGGCAGGCAGGTGTAGTTCGGCGGAGTCCAACAACCAGCGGTTGACGGCTGCGGCTTAGGTCCAGCCGCGCTCAGGTACGAACATGCCATCATCTGAAACAATGCAACGGACCCCTTAGAATAGTGAAATTGTAAAGCGAATGATGGGGATTCGAGAAACAAGGTCCGGTAATACGGCAAATGGTCCCGCATCAAAACGCACACGATTAGTCAAATGAAGGATGTACAGAATGTAACTAAGCAAAATAATATTTTCCAAACTACACACTGTACCGATAGTCGATGCCGGAGGAAATGAAATTGGTTTGTTACACAAATAAGGCGAACGATCCAGTAAATACCGTCCTCCGCAGCCAATAAAGTAACTTCCGTCGAGACAGAGACGCAATTCGCTTACGTTAAAGATGAAGCTTCACGTATATTACTCGTGTAATCTCCGTGAGAGTAGATTGAAGTGAAACAGCGCTTACATAAATAATGAAATATGTAGTATTATGGGACGGGAGGCCTAAAGAATTCGCGAGTGGGGCTCTCTAATCACGCTAATGGCCAATGCGCAGAGGCCCCGCCAACGAGGCTTTCACGCTAATGCAGAGCTCGCGCAGGAGTAGTTTAGCGTTATCGTATCACACGTCCAAAGTCTCCACGGATCCTGGCTCCACTTTAGCGGAAACGATATATTTGATATTTGTTAAGTATTCTTGACGAACGCCTATTTATCACTTTAGCCTCACCCCACGAATGGATATGAATGAACTTACAGTTTTATGATAACAATTTTTTTCGACTAGCAAACCGTCCCGGTTTCGCTATGTCGAATTATAACCATTATTAGTATCAGAAAATGATGTCCAAAACATATTTTTACGCTTAACATGTTGAGGTATGCTAACATGATAATTATGGGTTATACTTAAATAATTATTTTGATCGACAAAAAGGTTGTGACTTATCATTAAAATATATATCACGGTCTTTTAGATTCTATTTATTATTAATTCAGCCATAAACTACTTTCATTTAACATCAACTGTTGACGCAGCTCACACCGTGGAAGCTGTCAAGTTATGGTTTTTTATAGATAACCATAACCAACAATGCTTTCAAATGGTGGAATTTTTGAAATAACCTTTGAACTGGTTCCAGAAAATACGCTCCATACACAAACCAACATAATTTGCACTCTTTCTTAATAATATTAATTTTAGTTTTATGAGTAATTATCGCTTTTTCCAAATATTACTTATATTTGGAAAAAGCGATAATTACTCAGTATATTATTGTGTTATTTATTGAAACGATTTTTGACATTTTCGAAGTGCAAAACTACGCTCATATTTATACCCTGCATTAAATAGAAATGTCTGTTTACTCTGATAGGAATTCAAGACGTTAGACTTTTGTGTAAGTGCAGTGTCGTGTGTAAATTATCAAATTCAGATCCACCCGTTCCCTGATTTGAATACTTATGTATATTTATATGTAATGTAATAGGTCATTTTGTCGTTATAACACCGTCTGCCAAGTTGAGATATTGTTTGCTTACGCCGATTATGAAGAATATTTACGAACAACAAATATGTGTCAAATCATTGAACACCGGGAAACGACATGAAGTGAAACAACTCAAAAAAATCAATGTGGTAAACAAAAGAAAATGTTTAGTTATTAGAAACTTTTATTGTACACTCAAATAATCCATGCTTCTTTTTTCATATTCTCTTCATCATTTCATGCTTGAGACCGATTTTATAAAGTAAAACTTTATTAACATTTCGCTTGATAAAACTGTAGTCTGCAACAGTTCTTAACTAACAACAACTGAGAGCTTAATCGTAATAAAGTTTTGCGTGCTACATGACATACTAATTAAAGATAAAGGGTCTGTTTAGTAAAAATTCTATTAAAACAATGTTTTGAATTTTACGATATAGTTGAAATTAGAAACTGAATTTAATGAATATAAATCTGCAACCCAGTAATTTGCTTAGCTGTTGGCACGTCCTTCCAAATATTGTCAAGATATGTGGTATGCTACACAATTGTTTTCTTATACTGTCGTAGTCATATATAGTTAACACTCCAGGCCGGCAGCAGAGGTAAATGTGATTAATAAAAACATCGGTCATGCTTGACTCCAGCTTTGTTGGAGAGAAAATACGTTCGATTCGTATCTAACCGTTTTCTAATTCATAGTTCATGTCACGAACAAAGGTTCGCATACCACATAGGCGATAGTTTGGGGGAACAGTCGAGCGGTGCCCGGAGCCGCTACAGTTCTAACAATGATATTGCAACTTTAATATTTATTACACTTGATGAACTCGGCGCAAGTTAGCAAGTAATACAACGTACGAAACGTCTACGACGAATAGGGACGCGCTTGCACAATGCACTCGTATGAAAAAGACGCACTGGCTCATGTAATTTTAAAGCTCGAATTCACCCTCGTCTTTAAAACAATGTATGGTTTAATTAACTCGACGTCGTTCGGTCTACGCCCGGGCGTATAGTGCATAATTAAACCCTTTACGTAAACGCTTTGGTTAATATGTTTAAGCGGCGGTATTGCTTTAGGAGTCCTAAACTCTCCTATGAGAATAAACAATAGCTCGAGGCGGCGCTGGACGAAACCCGGCGCACAAGTGAATTAGTGGTGTTGTCTCCCCCGCGGACCCCGCCCGCCGGCGCGGTCCGTGTCGCGATTAAAACATAATTAGGCCCGCCAATTGTTTGGCCATCGGGCCAGGTGGCTGGGCGAAATAAACGGCCGTATTCGGTGGCCGTTAACACCGGCGCGTCCGCTCACTGTCCAATAATAGAATCGTCGTCGCGCGGCCGATTGAATACCGCGCGCCCGCGAGGGTTAAAAACCGGGCGGGAAGTAGTTGGCGCGTGATTGATACGCCCGCCGCCGGGGTCGAGCGGCCCAGGTGTAACGCGATATTAATTACGATCGGTTAGACATCGCCGCGTTATAAATCACGCTCGCCTATGCGCGTACGCTAATGAATCGCGGCGCGATAATTGCGCACCTAATTACGGCCGGGGAGCCGTCTAATTTGTCACTGTCGGATTATGGATCGGGAACGGCGTTAATTAAACATGCATTATATTTGTGGTGGGACGTGTCGTCGGGACCACGCGCCGCGGGCTACGCGAAACAATTGGCTTTCGAACTAATTCGGGGGCTATTGAAACTTGGCCGTTCGGACGTTTTGCCCGCCCTCTGCGGACGCGTCGGCCGACGTTTGCGCGATCACAATGAAAATTATCCACTTGCACCCGCGTAACTTTGTGTTGATTTATCCGCGCCGTGTCTAGTTTGTATTGCGATTGGGACGCTGGCTTTGTTGTAACTTGCGCGCAGCGTTCCGCCGTTTTGGCGACAATGAAATCTTTAGTGGCGCAGAATTAATTAAACGCATGCCAGTGGTCGCTTTGCGGGTCGATTTGTGTGGTATACAATAATTGGCCAACATCTAGGGGTAGAAGTGACAGTTATGTTCAACAGTACATCTCGATTGTAAAGCAACAATGAGCTTTATTAAATTTTTATGTTCATAATTCTTCGTATCTTTATGTATCGATGTTTTTGCCTTAATTTGAATTTAAGAGAAGCTGCTAATTTTGAAATTGTGTGTAGGTAAACTTTGAAGAAAAAATCAACTTAGGTTTGTCCTTTTATTGACAGTTTTTAGAAAAGTATTAACTAATTGACGTTTTTTTAGCTAAATAAATTAAACCGCTTACTTTTATTAGCGACCAAGTTGGCGCTCTCCGCTATAAGGTCTAAAGCGAAAAGGTTAGCGGGTCAAGTACTCTAGGTCCGTGGTAATTGGTGTTGTAATTGTTTTTAAATAAAGAAATAACAAATATTAAATGGATACCTACGCATGAGTTGTCCGCAATGTAATTGTGCAAATCGGAATTTATAATCATGTAGGTACAATTATCTTAACAGAGTAATCGAATAAAAACATGTAGCATAACAAACAACTGCAAATTAAAATGGGCTTATTATTAAGATGTTTACCGTAACTTGGGCTCAGTTTTAAAGCAACAAAGAAAATAGTGTCATCAAAGTTAAATCGTTTTTGTAGCAGGAGAACTGGAATTGATATTCTGTCCAACTGTGTCCATTCAAGGAAAGCCTCCGCGTACTCTTTAATTTTAAGGGTGCCGTATCCAAAAGTGAAATCGGGAACCTTATTACTAAGACTCCGCTGTCTGTCCGTCTGTCTGTGTGTTACCAGCCTGTATCTCATGAACCGTGATAGTTAGTAATTTTTCACAGATGATTTATTTCTATTGCCCCTATAACTACAAATACTAAAAATCGGGATAAACATTTTTTAAATGGGACACGACAGACATGATTTTTTTGCCGTTTTCATAGATAATGGTACGGAACCCTGCGTGCCCGAGCCAGACTCTTACTTGGCTTATTATTAAGATGTTTACCGTAACTTGGGCTCAGTTTTAAAGCAACAAAGAAAATAGTGTCATCAAAGTTAAATCGTTTTTGTAGCAGGAGAACTGGAATTGATATTCTGTCCAACTGTGTCCATTCAAGGAAAGCCTCCGCGTACTCTTTAATTTTAAGGGTGCCGTATCCAAAAGTGAAATCGGGAACCTTATTATTAAAGAGTACGCTGTCTGTCCGTCTGTCTGTGTGTTACCAGCCTGTATCTCATGAACCGTGATAGTTAGTAATTTTTCACAGATGATTTATTTCTATTGCCCCTATAACTACAAATACTAAAAATCGGGATAAACATTTTTTAAATGGGACACGACAGACATGATTTTTTTGCCGTTTTCATAGATAATGGTACGGAACCCTGCGTGCCCGAGCCAGACTCTTACTTGGCTTATTATTAAGATGTTTACCGTAACTTGGGCTCAGTTTTAAAGCAACAAAGAAAATAGTGTCATCAAAGTTAAATCGTTTTTGTAGCAGGAGAACTGGAATTGATATTCTGTCCAACTGTGTCCATTCAAGGAAAGCCTCCGCGTACTCTTTAATTTTAAGGGTGCCGTATCCAAAAGTGAAATCGGGAACCTTATTACTAAGACTCCGCTGTCTGTCCGTCTGTCTGTGTGTTACCAGCCTGTATCTCATGAACCGTGATAGTTAGTAATTTTTCACAGATGATTTATTTCTATTGCCCCTATAACTACAAATACTAAAAATCGGGATAAACATTTTTTAAATGGGACACGACAGACATGATTTTTTTGCCGTTTTCATAGATAATGGTACGGAACCCTGCGTGCCCGAGCCAGACTCTTACTTGGCCCGTTTTTTTTTTTTTGTATTACTATTATTCTTCCAATAAAATACGTTTCGCTTGACACTAAAAATATTTGTCTCCATTAACCACATGGTCACGGAAAGCGATACATCTGCAACTTTTTCACTATAGTTAAATGCATTCTTTTTAACTATAATTAAATACATTTGTCCGTTTAGTTTCAATTAAACACAATGTTCGACGACATAAAGGGGCTGTGGTAATCATTAATGTGCTGTCGCTACGTGAATTCGCGACAACAATTTCGTTCGAGATCCCCTTTCTCAGAAATTATAGTGTAAACAAAGATATTTACACGGGTGGTTTAATATGAGTATTGAATAGTAAACGCCTTCGCACCGGACAATAGTCAATCGGCATTCCATTAACTAGTTGATCAAACATACCCGGCGCGTTCCCGCTATAAAGTCGATCGCCCACTACACGCTAAAGATATCGATGATGAGGTGTGAACATTTTGAGACTTCTATTTTTTAAATATAAATTGCGCAAAAAACATAGCTTAACTTTTCAATATCATGCTATTGAATTTTTGTTGTAAAATTACAGATGAAAAATTACAAAATTACATCGCCGTAGCTTATTGATTTTTAAAACAAGAGCCAAATTCAGTTTTTTCCTCGTTTTAACAAAAATATTAGTTTACTAGCTGGTGCTCACGACTTCTTCTGCGCAGGATTGGTACTTCGCTTATTTTTTCATATCTATCCTTATACCAAAATCCGTCAAAATTAGTTCTGCTGTTTGGTCGTGAAGGCGTAACAGACTGACAGAGTTACTACAGACTACAGAAAGACCCTTGTGTCTTAAATAATAGCCTATGTGTTATTGTGATGCATAAGCTTTATAATTGCAAGGTCTCATTAAAATCCATTCAAAAGTTTTTGCGTGAAAGAGTAAATAACATCCATAGATACAAACTTTCGCGGTTAAAATATTAGTAAGGATTGCTTTAATCATTTAATATGAAGAACTAATATCTTATAACGAAGATATTAATGACAATATAAATAACAACAATACTAGCAACAAAGAGGATGGTGATAGGTACACTAAGGTGGTTTTGAGGTTAAGTTAAATTTATCTATCTCAACGCTGTCAGTGTGACGCGGCCTAAGCGTGACGATTCCAATCGCATCCGGGTCCGCAGGGTTCTTGAAACAACAGCTGTTTGTTCCTGCTCCGGCGCGTCTATCGGGCCCGACTTTCGCGAGACAATGCTACGCCGGTCCTAAATAATCTAATAGTTTTGGCCGTAGACGCGTGGAGCGCTCCGCAAACAGCGTTCGTGCAACGTTCCCCGTGCTACGTTTTACGCCACAAGGGTAAGGGTCCTGCTATCTTCGGTCACTCCGTTAATTGAATGCGCGCGCTCGTTTGGTGGTATGCGTGGCAAACTTGAAGCTGGGAATATAATCTGCTGATAGGCTTTCAGTCGCACTGAGTTACTTTGATTAGCTTTTAGTCTGTTTATAATCGTAAGACTTACCTAACCCTATCCAAGGAGGGCCGTATCAAGCTCGTTGGGTTCTGGCTAGCATACGAGTTCTGAGTTTGCAAATTGTACATAAAAATATACATTAACAATTATTTTTAAGAATATCCGATAACGTTTTGATTTTTACTCACGTCGAACGAAAATAGTAAAAAATAAAAATTTATGTAGCCCGTATTATTGACAAATTAAATTTTCAATTTATTGATAAAGATAAAGCACTGAATATAAAAGAAAATACTAGCAGAATAAGTAAGTCTAAATCCCAGATTTCACGCAACATTCGTGCATAAAAGAAACGAGTAGGCAAATAAAGTTTAGGACCCATAAATAGCCTGGCGAGACAGTTGAATGTTTAATGTATTACTGCTCTATGCTTCGTATATTATAATAATATGTTAAAAATATTTTGTGTTCGTAAGTAAAATACAAATTTAAACTTTCCAATCGTAAACTGATACGTCCCTAACTTCGCACATATCCCCTTATGAAATAAAGAATGTTTCTATAACAACGCAAATAGTTACTTGCGTTATGTTATAAATTGATGCAACAAATAGTTATAACGAAACGGAACGGTGACGTGAAACGGTGGCGTTATCGAGAACGATCCGTGTGGCGCGCTATATGCGGAGCGAGATACGGCGCGGCGAGATAGCGAGTGATAGTTGGGCGGGCGGCGATAAATTAGGGCGGCGAGGGCGGGGGTCGCGTGCGCGGCGGCCGTTCGTCGCGTCGCGTGCGCGCGCGCTCATTGCTTATTCATGCCGCCGGGGCACGCGATTGCGCTCGGACCGAGCGGAGACTTGGTCGGTACGCGGGCACGCGGCCGTACCGATACCAGATACAGTACCGATTTTCGTGGATTCTGACCACGTCGCCTCAACGATTTGTCGCGTTACGCAATACGTTCAGAGAGGTGGTGTTTCGGATTTTCACTACCCGCAACTAAAGTATGCCTCTCGTTTCGTTTGTATTTAAGCATAAGCTCGATGGATGTGGTTACTTTTTATAGCTCACATTCACTGTGCTAAAGCCACACAGCGGCTGTCGCACGAATGGGCAGGCTCGTCCGGGGAAGTACCACGGCCTCGCAGAAGACCGATGTGAAGTGGAAGTATGTGTTATGCTTTCGCGTTACGACCGCTAAGTGAAGTAGCCGGGGCCAAATCTTTTAATGTTGGCAACGCATTGCAACCCGTCAAGTGTTCAATGTTATGTGGTGATGTACATGGGCGGCGCTAATCATTTAACATCAGGTGAACCGCATGCTCGCATGTTTACATTAAAAAAAACTTTTTGGTCAATATATGGTGTAATTGGTGGAAAACTTCATAAATAACGTTTACTGCTCTAACAAAAAAAAAACAATACATAAATAATGAATCACGAAGATCTTGAGATCATGAACAAGAACGCATTGAGTGGTCTCGATACAAGTCTGTCAGTGGTCAGTAACAGTTAGCGCAGGAAAAGGAATATATTCCCCAATGGAGTAGCCGCATAGTAGTATTCGTCGCGTGGCTTTGTTCGTGACCGCGCATTAATCGCAACTTCACCGTTGACCCGCTGATGATTTAGGGTTGGTACTTGTGACGCAAGTAAAAGACGACAAGTGACACCTTTGTGTTTGCCACGTTTAATTTGATATCGGGCGACATCCAAATCTAGTTTCAGAATGTCGCAACTTCCGAGAATTCTTAATTTTATTGGGCATTCCTAAAGTGATTTATAATGGAATGCGGTAAACAGGACATGATGGTGATTGCTTTCCAATATCTAACTCTAAATGTTACATAGAAAGGAAAGAAAGGAGAAACCTTTTACCTTCACTACACTTTTTTGTTTGCTATCAGTCCTTGTAGGTCATTGCAAAAAAAAGGAGTTGAAAGTATTTCCAATATTTTACGTAACAAATAAAAAATACGCGTGTGACCTATAACGGCTGCCCAAACTCTCCGTAAGCGAGCGTACGTTTCCGTGTGGTGACTTTTAAGAAATCGGTCTCACGGCACCTCAAAGGATTTTACATAATTCACGATAACGAGCGATCGAGTTGCTCTCTTACTTCAAAGCCGCCGTTTCAGTTACAGTTTATTATTAATAAAATTCGGTCGGGTTGACGGGGGCTGTATACGGGCGCGGGGCGGGGGGCTTGGAGGGGGGGGGGGGGGGGGGGGGGATGCGAGTAACGAGCCGGTCCGCGCTCGTTATCGGCCGCCCTGGCCGGTCACCGCCGCGGAAAATTCGCCCGAAACTGACGCGCGTGAAAATTTAATGAACGGCCGGACGCTAGTTAACTAAAAGGTAAAGTGCACCCTCTTGACGTGTTCGGTAAATATTAATAGTGGGTGTGCTAGCGTGAGCCATTAAAAATGCACGAGCCCACGGACACGGGCCCTGCGCGCCGTTTCTTCATTAGCCCCTTTACACGCGCGCCTTTCTCCAGGTTGCGCGTCGAGCACGTGGGCGATTGTGCCATCTCGCGCCGGCCCGTATCGTCAGGTATCGGCTCTTCCGCGCCGAATGCACTTCGCGTCCATAGAATTTGCACTATAAAACGCGACGTTCAATATCGAACTTCCCCCAGCACAGGCACTCCTGAAAACACATCCCGAACGGAGCAAGTTTCGCTATTCGAGCCGTTTTAAAACTCTTACGGCCACTATTAGGGATAATAGAAACTGTCTAGTTGGAGCAATGAGACGGGGAATTATGTGCGCTGCCGGAATGATCGAAGTTGGACTTTAACGTCTTTTCGCTAGCGAGCGCGCCAATTGTTCGGCGCGCGAGTGTACGAGGCGCGACTTGGGAGCGACAGTTGTGAAGTGGGAGGGAGGCGATATTTGTTACGCAGTAATGAGGATCGTTAATTATGTATCGCAAGGTGTGTTGTCGTTTCAATTTGGAGCGGTTCAGTGTCGTCGGCACTCGCGAACGAGGTCAAGGGTTCGCGACTCTCGACCCCGAGTGGCGGCCAAATTAATGAGGCGCTCCTTTGTAATAAAGATATAACAAGCAAGGACTCCGCACGCGAACCCGGGCCCACCGACTGCGAAGTCATTAAAGACGTCGCCAAGTCTCGAGCGAGTCGTTATCGCGTCCCGTCTAAACAACTGAGTTTTTACGAATCGCGTAATAATCCACCGACCGCTGTAACTGTTGTTAGCGGCAACGCGATAAAGGAACTCTATCAAGGCGTAGTCTGTCGCATTAAAAATATATAGAGTTACCTAGATCGGTCGACAGTCGTGCGTCTTCATTTATTTAGCCGTGTTGAGTGAATAGCGTGCGGGGAGGTATCCCGGGTAACTACACACTGGTGACGAGGCGGGAGCGGGGTAGATTACTGCGGGCCGCGGCTTGCGGCCAGGGGTTTCTAAGTCGCGGCTAATTGGATGAGCCGCCGGCCAGCCCAATTAGCCGGCGCACTGTGATTCATTTTAATCGAGCGCCCTTATCAATGCGCACGCCATTCCGACCGCTACCCATTAACCTTTTCTATTTCATCGTTAAATTGATATGACTTGATCCGGCGTAATTAGTGCCATCGGCTCATCGCCAATTAATTAGATCTATTATCTAGGTTGCTTTCAATATTTCCTCATTGAATCGTTCGCATTTTTCATAGAGATGAATGTTTTTTTAGCTGTCCCGTATGCATTCCTATACAATTTTATTGATTTTTATGAAATTTTGAAGAGATGTTGTGTACATTGACTTTAAAGGGTTTCTTTTTAAAGGTTATTGTATTTTACACAATATTACAATTACAATTTAAGCAAATATAATCAAAAGAAAACCTGGCAAGATTTTGTTTGCGAGCTGTACAATTCTGATTTTATTTTATTTAATTAAGACTTCATAAAAGCTTATATATATATTTTTTAGGACTCGTAAGAATCGTAAAAATAATTCTAATTCATAAATCATGTTCGCGATCAAAATGTATTTAATATTAAGAGTTGTATATTAAAATCAATACGTATACGCAATTTTTTTTATAATTGTATTTTGTTTCTCACTACACATATTTTTTCAACAAAAACCTTTTTGAACTACTCGTTTAGTATTTCTAAGTGACGATATGTAGTTGTAAAGAACAAACAAAGGATATCCGTCAATTACACACAACAAATTTGGGGATGCGCCGTAATAACAGATTATACGCGTAAATATTGAAGCGGGGAATTCTGTTTTTCCCGCGTAATTCAGCAGGGTAGGGTTGTAAGATGATGAAAACAACATGAATATGTTTTGAACATTAGATAAAAAATTATGAATTCGACAATATGAGTCTCAGTAAGTAGGTTGTTTTTTAACAAGCACGTGATACAGTCGTGAATTGTTGTATGTTGTAGAATTTTTTTTTATGAGAGAAGGTGGCAAGCGAGCTGGCAGTTCACCTGATGTTAAGTGATAACCATGGCCACTTGTAACATTCGTAGGGTTTCAGATGCGTTGCCACGTTTTAATGAAAATATAATTTAAAACCAGTTAGTTGAAACTAATAAATAGCTTGTGATTTAAGTTAAAGTTTAATGACCATGCTAATGTGTTCCTTCATAATTTGTTAATAAAATCAGACTTTATTAATTACCTGGGAATTTATAGCCAAACAAAGAATTGTGTTGACAAAGTAATTTAAATTGTTAGTATTTTTGATATTTTTTTTAATCAAATACAAACAAATAGGACCTGACAATTTAACATGATTTTAAGCAGGTTCTGCGTAATATAAAATCCATAACGAAAATTTATAACTTATACAAAGAATATTATAGAAAACTTTGTAAGATAATAACAAAAATCATACAAAATGGTCTTGGTTTCAGCGCCTGGTACCACGGTTTCTTAACTACAGATAAAATTTCCGGATCAGCGTCTATTCTGGTGGGTTATTATTTATTAGTTACATATTAGTTATTATTAAAGTTTATTCTCAAGGGTTGATATCAGACAGGCGGCCGGGAGTAAAAATCCGAGCCAAAACATAATTCATATGTTGTGCCGACCCCACATAGGTCGAAATCATAAAGTCGTATAATGTAACATAAAGGGTGCAATTTTTATGAAATGTTTCCATCAGTTATTTTCAGTCGTCGATTGTATTATTATAAGATTTTTTTGTAGTATCTTGGCGTGTTCTTATTCCTGATTCTTTTTAAAATTGCCAGCTTATGATGTAATTGTACGCGCTACTCATATAGTGCGTTGAGTTCAAAAGATGAATCTAAGTGAAATCCGGGCAGTAGGGCAGCGGACCTTTGCGGATGATTGATAGTTCCCCTCCCAAAACAACTTAACGGCGCACCCCTATGAGAAATTGAATCACTTTCATATTTAAATTGAACAAGAGTTATTGCTCACTAATAAATTGATATTATTTTCGCACAATAAACATATTCAGTAGATGTTTTTATCAATTTTTGTAGATTATAAAATATGAATACGTAATTATGAAATATATTCAACTTCAACCACAAATTCAGGATTGTAATAATTATTACTCTTTAAGGATGTTTCATTTCCTTAAACAAGCTATGATTTCTTAAATCCCAGGTACTTTTAATGTACAGTTTTACAGATACACGGCTTTTTTGCAGGATCCTTTGAGTCAAATACGTGTAGTTATTTAAAATGGATTACAAAATTATCATGGTTATCATGTACTTTGTTCTGTGTACAGTTAAAGTTGAAAGCCAATGCCAAGTTTCCATGTAAAATTGAGTTCATATTTGGTAATTCAATTCACCGCACTTAATGTTATTTAATCATTCATTTTTCCACTCAGCCGAATGCGCTCAACAGCATATCAGGTAGACGAAAGCGTCCATTAACGTTGCAAGTTAACAAAAAGAGCGAGCGAGACTGCGTGCGAGTGGGAGGACACGAGAAACCACTTCCGCGATGAGATGGCGCACTTCCTGTGATTGAGGGCTGCGACCGCCCCGGCCCGATCGCGGACCTTTTCTGTTGCTGAAATTAGCTATTTGCGAAAACATGTCCTAGTGCTGAAAGCGTCCTTTCATGCATAATGCTCTCTGAATAATAAATTGTGCCTCGCTAGCGGTAGTGGCCATTATATGAAACTGGGTTGTCATATCTACATCTGTAGCAATCGAGATTTTCAGACGCGGACTAGTCGGCAGTTTAAGTTAGTTTTCGTACGGTTGTCCGAAATTCTGTGTGCGTGAAAGAAAATTATTTGTTACAACGGGCAAAGGTTTTTAAATAAAATATAAAAAGGTTATAAATAAATAAACCTTTGACCATATTTTAACGAGAATGCATTCCATTGAGCTGCTAATCGTTTGGTACAATTACACAATATTAAAAATACGCCTATGCAGTTAGCAATCAAATACAATAGGAAGCTAATATTTTAATTTTATTTAAAAAAGCAATAGCTGCAATCAGCTCCTGCCAGCTATTTAATACCCATGCAGCTTACTTTACGACCTACGAAAGAAGAAATGGTAATAATTAGCGGTACCAGCATACTATAACGAGAAGAGTACTGGACATAATGTAAAATAAAAGATGCCGTAGTGAATCTTACTAAGAAAAATGTTGAAATAGAAATGGAAAATATTGAAAGTAATAGGGTAGCAAGGCACAGTCAAATACGTATGTAAATTTAGTTTTGTTGTTAAATTAGTACAGATTTTGTCTTACATTTCCAATTTTCTTTATTATCTTTATCATCTATTTCGCCAACTTCTTGTTTCATTCATCATCATCATTCAGCTAGTCAGCCTTTATAGTTGACAACGCTGGTAAATTGTTATACGTTCTTTGTAAAAATATAACAAACGTAGACTTTATTATATAATTAATCACTCAAATCGGCCAATATAAAAGGTTGTTGCTTTAATATAAGTCATTGATGTGAACGTAAGCGTTGTTTTAAGTCGGTAGTTTAAAACTTACCGCATTAAGTTTGATGTCTAAATTGAAAATAACGTTCACTCCATACGACGTAAGTAAAATTTTGGTTACTTTTCATTATTTCGATACAATGATTTGTCTATATAATGAGTTGTGTTGATATATTTTTTCAATTGAGCTGATACAAGACCTGTAATGTCTGATACAAGGCTAAATCGGTTATGTGTCAAGAACCTAAATAAAAATTATGTAGTAAAAAAAAATTTGTCCGATACTTAATATTTTTTTTTACCTAACGGGCCATCTTTCAGCTGTACTCCTTTCCTTCTACATAGGCATCGGAGGATCAAGGAGTGGTAGATAATAAGCCACCCTTCAAGTCGAAACGGAACGAACAATCGTGTTAAAGCTCACTACGCTCGCAGTCGTCGCTGACGGCGAATGCAGTGCATCCCATTCTCAACGCTCCCCTGCTAAGTAATGACTCGGATCCATTCGTGGATAAATGGCAAATTGAATGTGCGCTCTAGCGCTCCGTGTTCTAAGTACGCAATGCCCTAACGGCCCGCGCTGGCTCGATAGTGCTCAAGTACATAAGTTGTAGTACTGGACATCTTAATCTTCATTATTACCTATAACTGAATATATATATACACAGCTACGTTTAGGGTGAGTCCATTCGAGCTCATGTTTAAATGTCAAGCGACGGTTCTTCCGATGTTTACTGTATACCGCCGCCCACGGACATCTACAACTT